ATCCATCCATCCATCCATCTATCCATCCATCCATCCATCCATCCATCCATCCATCCATCCATCCATCCATCCATCCATCCATCCATCCATCCATCTTATTCATAAAGCCTCCTTCATACTAAAAGCAGCTCAAATTGCTGTACAGAATTATAAACAATAAACCCACAAGATAAAAACAATGCACCAAACACAAAGTTGGGTCTTGAGCCTGCTCTTAAAAACAACAAGAGTCTCTGCGGCCCTCAGGTTCTCCGGCAGACTATTCCACAGACGGGGGCCAAAGTACTGGACAGAAGCCTCACCGTAAGTGTGAGTTCTGACTACTGCAAGTGTTAGTAGTCCAGTGCCAGAGGACCTTAGGGTCTGCGGGGGTTCATAAGGTAATAGCAGCTCTGCAAGATAAGATGGTGCAAAACCACTGAGACATTTTTAATGCACGCTTATCAGCACCACAGCTCATGATGGCCTCGGATCACAGACCGGCCTTGGAGATGTCAGGTGCCTCAGGCTCCTCTCTGAACACATGGTTCAACATTAATTTAACATTAGCAGTGATTAACATCCATAAACCTTTACCAACCCCCCCTGACAGACACATATAGATCCAGATTTTTGGTTCGCTGAAGGATGATCAGCACAACTTGCACATATAATTCCTCTAAAATAAGTTGTTCTCACTTGCACATGATGCAGCTCTAGTATCACATTCATTTTTTTTTTTGTCATTTTACAGAATGCTAAGCTCTGGAAATGTCAGGTTCTGTACAACTTGCTGAAACTGAGCCATGATTCAAATGATCCAAGCCTCACAACGTCCACGTCCTTCACAGAAACAGCTGACTCTATAAAGCTTTTAGAAGTTATTCAAGCTTGAACTGTAAGCGATGACTTAGTGCGGTTTGTAAAGTTATTAATTTAACAGTCCTGTCTTTGCGTTACAGTTGACATTATGAGAAATTATTTTCTGTAAACAGACATGCCAGTGAATATTTATTGACAATAAAACTGCCATCACAAAACGTTTTCATGTGTTGAGGAGCAGAAGAGAGCCTCACCCTTTATTGTACGCTTCCTCCTCAATCTTTGCCTTGATCTCAGCTTTGATCTCCTCCAAGTTTACTGAAGGTTTGGCTGGCTCGCTTTCCTGCTCCAGCACACTCTTTCCACTGTATTGTTTCAGATAGGAAAGAACAGAACAGTCAGCGCTGGACACCAGCGGCTAACGCAGCAGATGTTTTGAAACGTTTCGTCGTTGGGTTCCATGAAAACGACACGAGCTGTGTCTGCATGATGAACACGCTGCAGCTCTGGATGAGTGGGGTGTGCATCACCTCCGCCGCCGCAGTCACAGCGAACGCAAACAGAAGAGACGGAGCTGCCACATTTGTTTCCACTGTTCTCATCGCAGAACATTCGAGAGCTCGACTGGGCCGCACTTTATAACCACGATATGACTGGAGGCCTGCGCCTGCACTTTGTCAACCTCTTTCACAAATGTTTGGATTACGACCCAGCATAGCATATCCCTCAACTGCGGTGGGGTTTGATTATTGTTTTTGCACTTCCAGGGTTAGTGTGAGCTCACTGGGGCTTTCTCTGCACCGTTAAAACACATCCTGCAGGTCACACAAACAACCCCCACACATGTCCCCAACGCAGCACAAAATGCTTGGATAAGACTGATTAAAAGTTCAGGGTTTCTCATGGAGCATTGTTTTCATGGCAAGCTTGAAAAACTGAACATCGTCATGAGAATTACACGGAGTGAAGTTGTGCACGTGTGAACAAGTGAACATACCAGTCTGCTGCTGCGTCTGGCGACGAGCTGCTTTTGGCGTCATTTGCTTCACACTGAAGAGAACAGGGTTGAAGAAAATTATTTTCCTTAAAGCAGAAAACTGTTAATTATTAACTGCAATATTTTAAGGGAAGTAGAAACTTTGCATTTTTAACAGCTAAAACTAAAAAAAATAAAAGGTCTAGCATTACTTGACATATTTCATATCACCTTCTGCCTTACAAGTCAAAGTTTGAGCTCTCACAGTATGCACTGGGGATCATTCTCAGCTACCACCAAACCAGAATTAGGCTTAAAATATTTAAAATTGACAGAGTTAAAGCCATTTGTGCGTTCTCTAACGTCACTTAGCTGTGGCACCCATCTTGAATTGGTATGACTCCAGTAATCAGTTGTAGATGCACATCCAATAATCAATTTCAGAAAAGGTTAATACAATCTGCCCACTGGTTCATGAGACTTTTTGCTAACATACGGTTAAATAATCACACACATACACTCACACTAGCACTGTAAGCATGCAAAACTATTATATCCAGTACATATATATTTTCCATTAGCTCATCTATATAACAACAATGTTACACAGAGGTGTGTGAGACAACAAAAGGCAAACATTTCAAATAGATATAAATGATTTAATTCTAAACGAGGCAGAAACTGCTCCTGAACTCCTGATGACCTTTCATTCAGCAGTCAGGCATGTTGGGTTGACGTCACCACATCGGATGCTTCGTACAACATTTCCCATCATGTCACATCAGAACAGGAAGACCTACCAGGGCAGGAAGAGCAGGACCCGCTGTGGATCCTGCTGCTGAGCCCGGGCCGGCAGTAGTTGAGTTTGGACCCGGGATGTTGAGGAGGTTAAACTTAGGCACCACCGCTACGCTTACCCTTCGCCTGGGCAAAGCCTATGAATGAAATGGTAAAAATAAGAAGAGGAAAAATTAAAAAAACTTCAGATTTGAAAGTCAGATCAAATGAATTAATTCTGAAAACCAAACTAAGGAGGGAAAAAGCTGAACGATCTTATAGATTACTTTTCCAAGGGTGATGGACATGGATCTGGACGACCGTGGGACTCCTTCATCTTGACAAAGAGCATAGAAGTAAAACAATATTAGTACAGAAAGCATCAGTTTCCTTATAGGATTCTCACAGTGCAGCTGGGAAGCATCACAGCATTAATATTTGACATTTGCAAATAAAAATAAATAAATAAATAAATAAAGTTCAAGCTGTGAATTTTAAATGAAATCAGTTCTACAAACAACAAAGGCTTAAAACAGGAAAACGACATTATGGTGGCAGAACTTGTCGTCTTTACCTCCAGGTTCTCCAGAGGCTCCATAACATCGATTTGAGTTCTGGTTGGCCAGTTTCTTAAACTCCATCAGCTCTGCGTGGTCTTTCTCGTACGTCCTCTTCAGATTTTCCACGTATTGCATCATGACCTCAGTGGCTTTGTTCATACGTTTCTCCTGTTGGACAATAGATTTTCAGTTCACGAGACCTGCACCACAAGGTGTTTTAAATCATCAAACACTCTGATCGTCTGCGTTCGAGCTCTAAAATGAGCTATCGGCCTTTGACCTTTAAGACGTCACTCAGCCTTACACTAAAAAAATACAAGAACAGCACTGCATGAAACTTACAGAAACAAGAGGGTTCAATTCAGTTTACCGTATTTTTTGGACTTTACTGTGCACCGGATTATAAGGCGTATTAAGCAAAACTAAAATATTTTGACAGTTTTTTGAGCACAGTGTACCACATAAAATCGGTTCGAGGTCAGTAAGTACATAAGGCGCAACGGATTATAAGGCTCACTGTTGATTTTTCAGAAAATTAAAGGATTTTGAGTGCACCATATAGTCTGAAAAATACAATATTTATAAAGTGCCAAGTCACAGCATAAGTCGTCTCAGGGACTGAACAGAAACATTCATATATAAAAATAATAATTGAACTTTATTTATCTGAGGAGCAGCTTTGAGTTTAACTCCATCACAGAACTCTCATCTTGAACAAGCATGAAGGCGACAGTGGAAAGAAAAACTCCCTCATGAGGAAGAAACCTTTAGCAGAACCAGCTCAGGACAAGAGGACCATCTGCTTCGACCAGCTGGGTTTGAGAGGAACGGATACACAATGGCAGGTCAAGAATCACATGTTAAGATAGAAATAGTATCAAAATGAAAACTATTCAGTTTTAACAATTCATTTAAGGAAATGAGGTCAATTTGTCTTCTAGTAGTCTAAGTCTATAGCAGCATAACAACCCTAACTATAGGATCTATCCAAAAGGAAAGTCTTAATCCCAGTCTTAAAACTGGACAATCACGAACAGACACTGGAAGTTGGTTCCACAAGAGAGGAGCCTGATAACTGATATCTTTGCTTTGAGGATGTTGATGGAGAAGTACAGAGAGGGTCAGAAAGAACTTCATTGTGTCTTTGTGGATGCAGAAAAGCATCTGACAGGGTGCCGAGGGAGGAGGTGTGGTTCCTACATGGGTCCAGTTTCACTACTTTTTGTCTTTTTAAACAGATATCACTTGTAAATGAGTCTTCTAGGCTCAATGTGACTCATCTGTCTAAATAAAGGTTGAATGAGTGGTGTTGCACGAGGAAATCTGGAGTGGCAGAGAAGTATGTTAGTCTGGTACAGGACATGTATGAGGACAGCAGGACATGTTAGACTGGTACAGGACATGTATGAGGACAGCAGGACATGTTAGTCTGGTACAAGACATGTATGAGGACAGCAGGACAGTGGTGAGATGTGCTGTAGGAGTGACAGATAGCTTCAAGGTGGAGGTAGGACTGCATCAAGGATCGACTCTGAGCCCCTTCTTCTGACATTGTGATCTTTGATGAGAACAGGGAACAGGTGGAAGCGAATTTGGAGAGGTGCAGGTATGCACTTGAAAGAAGAGGAATGAAAGTCAGTCGTAGTAAGACAGAGTCCACGTGTGTGAATGAGAGGGAGGAGATGGAACAGTGAGGCTACAAGGAGCAGAGGTCACAAAGGTGCAGGACTTCAAGGACTTGGGGTCCACTGTCCAGGAACATGGGGAGTGTGGTGAAGAGGTGAAGAAGAGAGTCCAGGCAGGATGGAGTGATGGAGAAAAGTTTCAGGAGTGATTTGTGATAAAATGGTGAAGGAAAAGTTTGCAGGACAGTGGTGAGACCAGCTATGTTGTATGGTCTGGAGACAGAGACATGGACAAAAAGACAGGAGACAGAACTGGACGTGGCAGAAATGAAGATGTTGAGCTTCTCCTTAGGAGAGACAAGGATGGAGAAGATCAGGAATGAGATCATCAGAGGTACAGCACAGGTTGAACAACTGGGAGATAAAGTTAGAGAGACCAGACTGAGATGGTTTGGACATGTCCAGAGGAGGGACAGTGGGTATATTGGTAGAAGGATGTTAGAAATGCAGCTCCAGGAAAAAGACAAAGAGGAGACACATGGAGTTAGAGAGGACATGGAGGTAGTTGGAGTGAGGACAGAGGACAGAGAGGACAGAGAAAGATGGAGGATGACTTGGTGTGGCGACCCCTGAAGAGGGTAAAGCTGAAAGAAGAAGAAGAAGAAAAAGATTTTCAGTTAAGAGTCAAAATAATGAAAAAAAATGTTTTTGCCAGTTTATAATTTGTTAAAAATAATACATTTGATATATTTTTAAATAAAATATGATTGCATTTGGATCTGATTTATTGTAAATTCCCCATTTGACCTGTACCTTTAATTTTAGAGGATCTTTTAAGAGTTTGGGTTAAAACAAGTCTCTCCTAAAGGAGCCACATTTATTATTGTGATTATGACTATTCATTTATTTATTATGATTCAGTTCCTTTAAGTAAAAAAAAATACAATTAGGAGCTGATCAGTTTGAAGCTTTGCTGTCAAGACGAGCTGAAAGTCCTTCAGTAGATCTTTGGGGAACAAAGGAGATTATTTATGGGATCCCATCATTTTTGTGTAATTGTAATAACGCAACAGATTTTTTGCTGCACAAAAATGGCCGACAGTAATTCAACCGAGTCTTCCTGGGTTATAAATAAAGACTGTTGTCTTGGAGAAACATAATTTTTAATGTTTGTTTTGGTTGGCATCGGGTCAGCCACGACATGGGTCAGATTGTTTCATTGTTAGTTTTAAAATTACTGCCAAACAGGCATTCCAGTTGTCCCCGGAGACCATGAAGAAAACTGTTTAGAAATGCAGACGATAGATCAACAAACTGCATCTTGTAACGAGGGGCGCTGTGGATTGAAAGCAGAACCTGTCGAACTGCTCCAACTATCTCTGCTCTGCTGGAGAGCCGGGTGGTGAGACGGTGCAGCACCGCCACCGTCTCCACGAGGCACTGGTAGGCTTCACGCTGCTCCACGTTCTGCCACTGCGGTGCAGTCGTCTGCAAGACAACACCGTAACACCACGCAAAGAGAAACAAGGGAAGCAAAGAGGTCAACACGGCGCTCTTGACTGTAAACAGGGTCCATTAAAGAGAAGGACACGTGGACAGTGTGTTGCTGCTTCAAGGACCGACCTTCAGTGAGCCTTTGAACTCCTCTAGTTCCTTCTCTGCATCTTCCTCAGTCAGGTTCCTCTCCCTCTCCGCTTGTTTGAGTCTCGTCTCCAGGGTGTAGTTGTCATTACGAAACGCCAGAGACAGCTGGACAAAGGCATTCTGTGGAGAGGAAGTTCCTTTAACACACAGACTCATGACTCACTTGGCAAGAATCAAGCTCTTCACCTTCTGCATGGAGGAGCCTATAGTCACCTCATGGAGGAAGCTTGTTTCAGCTGCTTGCATCTAGAATCTGGTTATTTTGGTCATGATCCAATAGGCGACCGTAGGTGAGAGTTAGAACGTAGATGGACCAGTAAATTGAGAGCTTTGCCTTGTGGCTCAGCTTCTTCTTTACCACGATAAACCTTTAGTCTGGGTCTTTATCAGCTGATCTGGGTCTTTATCAGCTGATCCATCTCCAGATCCATCCTATCATCACTGGTGAACAAAACTCTCAGGTGCTTGAACTCCTCCTCTTAAGGCAAAGACTCATCACAAAGCAGCAGGGAGGATTTCACTTTTTTTTAGTACATTCCAAATATGATCTTTCCTGTTATACTTGCCCTATAGAAGTAATAACAATAAATAGTTTAAAGATTCTAAATTTATCTGGGAATTAAGAAAAAAAAATCATCAAGTTTGACAGAGTTAAAGAGTAATACAGTAATCCCTCGCTACTACGCAGTTCGTTTATCGTGGACTCACTCTATCGTTTGTTTGTTTTCAAAATAGGACTGGACATGACACGATTGGTTGATTGATGAATGAGCCGCACGATCGGGATGACATTTTTATTTAAAATAAATTATTTTAAATTATTTTGCACCTCCTGCACCTTTGTGCAGCCCATGCTGCAGGATAAACTTCCTGCTGCAGCTGATCAGCTGTTCTGCATGCAGTGCGTAGAAGTGGGCGTGGCCAAAAGCACTTGCAGGTGGTTGAGAACAGCTGAGGCAGGGAGCTGAAATCAAGACATTCTGTGCTCTTTGAGAACTTTTAGAAACATTGTTCAGAATATTACAAGAGTGTGGGAAGGGTTTAAAACACCT